ATACTGTCCAAGTTTTTTAGCATATACTAATTATAAAATTTTAGCAGTTTTCAGAAAGTTTAAGTTTAAAAGTTAGAAATTTCTTTCAAAAAGTTTTACATGTTGCAATCAAAGCAAGCAACAAACCGAAGGTTCAATAATATCAACCACAAAACGTTTCTTCGTTCTAATCTATCAATATCAAAAATAAAAAACCAAGATCACAGAAATATGTATAAAACAAACAACTCTTAAACGGGGAACACACAAGGCAAAACGCAACGCGGTGCAGACTGCACATCTGTTCGCCGCGACAGACCATACAGTGTACATCACAGTAGTATTCCCGAAATGGATATCTCTCAGGAAGTCATGGAAGTAACGGAACCAGCAGCGAACAGAAAAGCTTGGGTTCATGAAGTGAATCTCACTATAGGTGAATCTAAATTTAAAGACTCGGGGTTATTTTATAAAGAGATTAGGTGACCCCTTGTCAACGTGGTCAAGCCTATATGCCGTGCTCGGAATTCCGCTAAAACTGGGCATTCTGCTAGAAAATAAAAACAATCTTCTCGAGCATACCTGTTACAGAGAGAGCAAGTAAAGTTTGAGATACAAGCCTGGAACTACAGGAAAGAACTAATTTTTTATTTCAATTATTAAATATTTATTATGTATATAAGACACCCTGGTTATTTATATGTGCATAAGTGTATGTAAATATACATAGATATGTTATTTTATTTTACTTTAGTTTTTTTTTTTTAGAAGAAATATGTACTTTGTTTATTAAAATTTTATAGTCCGACTCCGGCAGACGGTTGATAACCATTACCATTATGTGCTTTTTAGTTATGTACAATTTTTTTTAACTCTCTTTTATTTATATAATAAAGTACTTTTTTCATTCATTCATATAGGTGAATCTAGCGAATGTCATAAGTTGATTTCTGTATTAGGTAGAAAATTCTGATCGATTCAGTATTTTGTATTTTCGGATGACGAAACATCAATTTTATTATCCGCATGAGGCAATAAAGGAACAGGAAAACTAATCCAAATTATTATATGCCGTGTATTATATACCATTTACGATATACAGGACAGGGCGTTAGGTTAGTCGTGTTACAAAATTTGCCAGTAGTTTCAGCATTCAAAATGGAACCAAGAAGTCCTAATTTAACTATGGTCCGAATCTCAACAGTTTCTGAATTATTACCCTTTTTCTGATTTTTTAAGATTTCACGATCTTACTTCAAATAAACAATGACTATACAGTATTCAACGGACTTGTCCAAAACCTTTTAGTTTTGGACAAATCCGTTGAATACTACGTTAAATTTTCAACAACAAATGAGCAATACTAAACTTGTAAACTTTGATAAAATGAACGTTTTAGTAGCCAGAACATGAAAAAAATTTTTTTTTCAAAGTTGAAAACCATACTATGTTGATTCTAAACTACTATTTCCACACCTAGAGACCAGCAAATTTCAGAAAACTTACTCCATTTAGTATACTTTTTAGTGGTGTAATTGCTTTTTTAATTACTTTTTTCAAAGATGAAGAAATTGATGAAGGAAAGGAAAAAACCTGGTTGACTGACTGGTGAAGGTGGAAAAATAAATAATAATAAAAAAAACCTTAATGAAATGTTGAATGAATGAACAAAAAAATGTTTTGAATCTTAAAACGCTTTTATTCCGGGGAATAATAATACAATAATACTATAATCAAAGTTGAAGTCGTGCTGGTAAATAAGTAAACACTTGCACTATTTCGGTTCGAACCCAAATTAAAAAAACGTTTGATAAATTCATTCAAAATTCCCTTAAGTTTTTTTTTTTTTAATCTTTCCACCTTACCAATCCGTCAACGTCGGTTTTTTCCTTTCCTTCATCAATTTCTTCATCTTTGAAAAAAGTAACTAAAAAAAGCAATTACACCACTAAAAAGGATATTAATTAAATGGAGTAAGTTTTCTGAAATTTGCTGGTCGATAGTAAGTTTTTCAACTTTGAAAAAAAAATCTTTTTCAAAGTTCTGGCTAGCCAACGTTTACAAATTTAGCATTTACTAAATCTTATTGGAAAGTTAACGTAGTTTTCAATAGTATGAACGTATTTGTCCAAAACCTTTTATTTTTGGAGTTATCATTGTTTATATGATTATCATTGTTTCAGCAAGGTCGTGAAATCTTAAAAAATCAGAAAAAGGGTAATAACTCAGAAACTGTTGAGATTCGGACCATTGTTAATTAGGACTTTTTGGTTCCATTTTGAATGTACAAACTATTGGTGAATGAGTAAAATTTAACTAGCAACTTTTTTTACCTTGTTTTGCTTTTAATGCGTTATCATGAATCAAACCTGGTAATAAATTCTATAACTAAATGGTATTCAGGAGTTTTGATAATTTTTCTGTCAAACCAACATAATTAAATAATTTTTATTAAAACTCAATTCAATTGTCAATTTTTGATTTCGTTTAATTTGGTTTATATTAAAAAAATAAGCATGTTGTAATTGATATCTTGTCCGGTTCTTTGTCTTTGAGTGTACTCGACGCTACTCGACGAAAACTGGTTGCATCGAGTCGCGGAGGAGTGGCGTTGCGTCAGTTTTTATTATCTATTTTATTTTTATAAATCTTATGGAATATTGGACATCGGATTAGCGTCGGGTGTGTTCCCCGCTTTATCCGTGATTTTCAAAAAAAATTGTATCATTCATTGACAAATTGAATTGATAAGGCTAACAATGATTAGAGAAAATAAATTTCATTTGTGCGATGTTTTAACAGATCTTTTTTTTTTAATAAATAAATTACGTAAATTCCACAAGATGGTAAATCACAGTCAAAAGGGAAGAAAACTGCCAATTATAAAATCAAGACATTTAAGAATTAATAAATTTTTTACTCTGTTTAATCAGAATGCAGTTCAATGTTCAAATTGTGCCTTCTTCAATTTCTCAAATAAAAGAAAAATTAGCCCTTTTTAGGGAGGCTTTTAAATTGAGTGCACCTTAAGCCTTGAGTCAACAGAAAGGTGTTCCCAGATCAAGGGAAACACTCATTATTTCAACAGTTCAATAGATAAATCAAGCTTTTGTAAAGAATTAATAGATCGAATAAGTTAGCTTTGATAAAGTTGATCCAAATTGAATGCTTCTTCTTCCAGACAACTAATTTCTACTATTTTGAGTTATTTAAGCCTTTACCAAATTTATCGTTATAACATTTTACAAGAGAAACAAGCTATTTATCATGAAATTAACAAATTGTTTTTCTGACAAGCCTGAAATTGCTTGAGAAAAAAGAGCAAAGTTTATTTTGTGACTGGTTTGTTCTTAAATAAAAAATTAAGTTTCTTTACTTTGTATAAAAACCAGTTGAGTTAAACAATATGGGCTTCAAGACCAGTGGCGAAAAATTTCATACTGTGAATGAATGAAAAATGTATAAAGATAAACTACTTAAACAGTATGAGGTTCAATGTACAGTTTATGTTTTATGACGCCTATGTTTTAATCATACTATATTAAAGTTGAATACGAAGATGAAAATTTTATCTTTATCAATGAAAAATCTACAGAAAATAATAATTATTGGTTGTAAAGTATGATGTTTTCACAATAGTTATGATATGGCTTATTTTTGCATAAAAATATTTTCTATTTATTTAACGTCAGTTCACAGATTAAATTTAACATTTTAACAAGTTAATCACATAAAAAATTATGGTATCTCAAGCATAATGAGTAAAAAAGTTTAGAATTCTTAATTACTGGTTGATTGAATTAGTTTCAATTCACAATTTATGTTTTATGCCTATTTTTTAATTATTTCATTTGGTTGAATAGGTTCAAATAAGATTTTATCTCCTATATTGCATATTTTTAAATTATATTAAATTTGTCTACTAAAACAAATTATCATTGTAACAACTTAATTGATGAAAAATCTTTATTAAAACAAAAAAATTGAAGAAATCTTCCAAAAACATTGACCAGATAAACTGAATTTTCAAAAAATATGTCTGTCTTTATGTGTTTTGTATCTTTCCAATTTTTTGTGACAATATTCACCGTTTTAACATTTTTTAACAGGAATAATCTGATTTTTGAAAAATCAAGACCAACTTGACATGGTCGGTACTATTTAAAGTTTATGTTCTATGAAGCCTATTTTTTAAATTATATGATATTAAATTTGTACACCAACACTGAAATTATCATTTCAACGATTTTATCAATGAAATTTTTTTTTAACACAAAACATTTGAAGTAAACGTCCAAAAATGTTCACTTTGATAGCTAAACCAGAAAAGCAAGTAAAATTATATTTTGAGATAAACTGTATTTAAAAAAAAAAAAGTGTTTCAATACTGTTTGTATCTTTCCAGGGTTTTTATACATAATTACGAATACCAGCTTGACTCAGTTTATGCTTTATGGTTCCTATTTTTCAATTATATCATATTAAATTTCATTAATCTATGCAAAATGTCTATTTATACAAAATATTTGCAGAAAAATTCCAAAACCGTTGACTAGATAAACTGAATTTTCATATATGTTTATTTCGATAATGTTTGTATCTTTCATGGGTGCATGACAAAATTGACCATTTTAACAATTTTCTGATAAGAATAATCTGATTTGGAGTATGTATGGCTCAGGAGAATAAGCTAGACCAACTTTACATGATAATTACAATTTACAGTTTATGTTCTATAGTGCCTATTTTTTATTATATTATTACTCTTTAATACTATATTGTTCTATACCAAGACTGAACTGATCATTTCTACTTTATGAATGAAACTTTTTTTTTTAAAGAAAACATCCCTAAACGTTGGCTATTATACATCTAGACCAAAGAACCTTATATACACCTTAAATTAAGATTAAACTGTATTTTCAAAAATGTGTTTATTTTGATAATGATTATATTTTCCCGTGTTTTATATCAAATTTACCACTCTTACAATTTTTTAACAGGAATAATCTGATTTTTAGAAAGTGTGGCTCAAGTGAGAAAATAAGCAAGACCTCCTTGACTTGGTAAGTACAATTTAAGGTTTATGTTTTATAGTGCCTATTTTTAAAAATTATGTCAAATATATACACGAAGAGTGAAACTGCCGTTTCAACAACCCTGTCAATGAAAAATTTAGAAAAAAGTTGTTAGGCAAAAAAATTTCCTTTGATAGAAGTTAAATAGTATTTGGTTAAATATGTTCAACTCACAGTTTATGATTTATGATGCCTATTTTTATTTATTTCATTTGGTTGCATAGGTTCAAATAAAATTTTATGTCGTATAATGCATATTTTTTCATTATATTATATTAAATTTGTCTATCCATACATAAATTGTCATTGTAACACAAAATATGCTTGTATTGATGTTGTTTGTATCTTTCCATTGTTTTATGACAAAATTGACTATTTTAGTTCTCTTATATTGCATATTCTTTAATTATATTAAATTTGTCATTCAAATAACTTAACCAATGAAAAATCTTTATTAAACCAAATATTTGAAGAAAACTTCCAAAAACATTAACCAATTTTCAAAAAATATGTTTGTTTTGATGTTGTTTGTATCTTTCCAGCGCTTTATGACAAAATTGACTGTTTTAACATTTTTTTTAACCGGAATGATCTGATTTTTAGTAAGTGTGGATCAAGTGCAAAAAATAAGGAAGAACTCATTGACTTGGTAGGTACAATTGAATGTTTATTGTGCCTGTTTTTAAATTATATTATATTAAATTTGTGCACGAAGACTTACATTACTATTTCAACAACTTTAGCAATGAAAAATCTGAGAAAAAAAGCATGTTGTCAGATGAAAAGGTTTTTTGTTATAGAAATTAAAGAGTAGTTGGTTGAATAGGTTCAACTCTCACAGTTTATCTTAATGATGGCTATTTTCAATTATTTTATATTGTATTTATGTACCAACACCGAAATTATCACTTTAACTACTTTAACAAAAAAATCTTTGAAGAAATAAATCATGTTTGGTCAAAAAGTTTGCAGTTTTCACAAACAACTGTGGATCAATTGAATAAGACTTGATTTGGTAGGTACAATTTAAAGTTTATGGTGCCTATTTTTAAATTATATTTTAAATTTGTGCACGAAACTGAAATTACCGTTTCAATTACTTTATCAAAGAAAAGTTCGAGAAAAAAAAAGCATGTTGGTTGTAAAGGTTTTTTTTTGTGTAGAAGTTTAAGTTCAATCCTTTTTAAAAAGATGGTTCCTACTCACATTAAGTAACTCTCCTAACTCACATTTATAATTTCTATGGTTAGAGTTGGTCGAACTCACAGTTTATTCTTAATTATGGCTATTTTTAATTATTTTAAAATCCTTGAGGAAAAAATCATGTTTAGTCAAAAAGTTTGCAGTATTCACAAATCAAGGTAGGAGAGTAATCTGTTTTTAAGTAAGTGTGGATCAGGTGAATAAGACCTGACTTAGTAGGCACAATTTAAAGTTTATGGTACCTAATTTTAAATTATATTATATTAAATTTCTCCACGAAGACTGTAATTACCGTTTCAGCAACTTTATCAATGGAAAATCTGAGAAAAAAAAGGATGTCGGTTGAGAAGGTTTTTTTTGTAGAAGTTGGTTGAATAGGTTCAACTCACAGTTTATCTTAATGATGGCTATTTCCAATTATTTTATATTATATTTATGTACCAACACCGAAATTATCACTTTAACTAATTTAATCAAAAACGTTCGACGAAAAAATTCATGCTGTTTAATCAAAAAGTTTGCAGTTTGTCACAAATCAAGGTAGCAGACTAATCTGATTTGAAGTAAGTGTGGATCAGGTGAATAAGACCTGACTTAGTAGGTAAAATTTAAAGTTTATGGTGCTTATATTTAAATTATATTATATTAAATTTGTGTACGAAGACTGTAATTAACGTTTCAACAACTTTATCAATGAAAAATCTGAGTTTTTGTAGAAGTTGGTTTATCTTAATGATGGCTATTCCCAATTATTTTATATTGTATTTATGCACCAACACCGAAATTATCACTTTAACTACTTTAACCAAAAAATCTTTGAAGAAATAAATCATGTTTAGTCAAAAAGTTTGCAGTTTTCACAATTCTAGGTAGGAGAGTAATCTGATTTGAAGTAAGTGTGGATCAGGTGAATAAGACCTGACTTAGTAGGTACAATTTGAAGTTTATGGTGCTTATATTTAAATTATACTATATTAAATTTGTGTACGAAGACTGTAATTAACGTTTCAACAACTTTATCAATGAAAAATCTAAGTTTTTTGTAGAAGTTGGTTGAATAGGTTGAACTCACAGTTTATCTTAATGATGGGTATTTTCAATTATTTTATATTGTATTTATGCACCAACACCGAAATTATCACTTTAACTACTTTAACCAAAAAATCTTTGAAGAAATAAATCATGTTTAGTCAAAAAGTTTGCAGTTTTCACAATTCTAGGTAGGAGAGTAATCTGTTTTTAAGTAAGTGTGGATCAGGTTGCAGGTACAAATTAAAGTTTATGGTGCTTATTTTTAAATTGTATTATATTAAATTTGTGCACGAAGATTGTAATTACCTTTGGAAAACTTCATCAATGAAAAATCTGAGAAAAAAGAGCATGTTGTCGGATGAAAAGGTTTTTTTTGTAGAAGTTAAACAGTAGTTGGTGGAATAGGTTCAACTCAGGTTTTTAAGTAAGTGTGGATCGGTGAATAAGATCAACCTGACTTAGTAGGTAAAGGTAGAACTGTAAGTACGCCCTGGTACGGCTGGCTTTTTTGCAAAGATTATTTTTTGCGGATTGAGAATAATTTTTCACTGTATAAATTATTCACTAAGTTGATTGTGTGCTAATAGCCGAGGCGGCACGAAGGGATTGGAAGAGAGTACGGTGTGGACGAAATAAAAATAAAAAATACAAAAAAGGGGGGCCGTGCTTGTAAATAAAAATGCACAACTGTTACTGAACATGTGGTCGGCAGGTATTAAAAACAAAATCCAATGGCCGAACCTGCGGCTATGGCGAAAGGTACTCAGAGACGGAGCGAGGAGTGTTAATGAGATTAATAAAATTCAACGAGAAGTCGAATAGGTCCACGTACCTGGTGTAATGCGGTTAATCCGTCAACATCGCTCGTGTGGATGTCTGCTCCTTTTTTCAACAAACGCTGTATCTCCTCCTTGTCACCAGCTTTACAAGCGGCCAAAAACACACAACCCGCGGAAAATTTGATCTTCCTCTCCCTACCGTTGACGACGAGGGGCTCACGGTTCGTTTCGGATTCTTCCCATCTTTTCAGTTGTTCAGCCCTTTTAAACAGGGCCGAATTCGAACGGGTCTCCAAAGACATAATTCTAAACTATCCTACACTCCATACGCGTCTTGACTGAGGGATAACTAGGCCTAATAACATGGTGGGGAGCGGTCTATTTTAGAATCGGACACAAGTCGACGACTTGCTTTTCCTAACAAGGTGTATATGGCTGGCTGGATGAGCCAGTATCCGTCAAAACTTCGGCCATCTTTGCAACCGAGTCCTTTTCCATGCTGCCATCTGTTTGCAGTACCTGCAAACCGAATCCCCACCCGCCTTGCCAAGCGCCACTCCACCTTCTTGAATCATCAGGATGAGACGATGATGCACTACACGACTAGTACTACACACCAAACTAATACGCTAAAGTTAGTAATTTTAACTTGATCATTGATTTTGACAGTGTACATAGGTCACTAATTGTAGCGCAAGTACACCAGAGAAGTTTAGCACTGTGAGAACAAATTATCTAGCACACTAAAATTTCCCCCCTCAATTTATGACAGATTAAAAATTCAATTTGATGTATGCTGATGACATTGTTCTCACCTTCAAAGAAATATTAAACTTTTGGAATCATATCGTTCACAGTGGAATTTAGTTAATGTGGCAAATTCTAAAATAATTGTGTTCAAGAAGGGATGGGGGCATGCCAAATGGTAAATGAGTATCTGGGTGTTTTCTTGTCTTCACATTTGTAACTAGCTTTAATAGCTCTAAACAGCATTTCACAAGATATGGTTTCCCCACAAAATTAAAACTATTTAATTCAATATGCCATTCGATTCTCTGTTATGTGTGGTGATTAGTGACCGTTAGTCGATGATTATTCAGAAATCATGAGATGCAGTCTGGTGTGATGTAGGTTTCAGAAAAACATTTTCTTTATCGTGTCAACGTTTCGATCTTTATTGAGATCATCTTCAGGGCCTGGGATTTATAAACATTGTTTAAATTTTACAAATACATGTAGGATGTGGAAAAAAGTAATTTATACAATGCAAAAAATATATTTTTTATATTCAATCAAATTATTTCTATTCACTCTGTTATGCTGCTCAGGTATGGGGCTATGGAAGGTTTGAGCCCCTGGAAAAGATTCAACGCTTCTTCATAAGAAAGTTATTTGCCTTACCTACTCCAGCACGTAATTACATGTTATATATAGAGACCGAATTTAGCTAGTTGTATTTGTTTACATTGCAGCTTCATTTCAAATACACATTAAAAATAATGAAACTCCCAGATTATCGCTTGTCAAAAATAATTTCCCTCGAAATCATTAATCGTGGTGTACTCTGGTTTAGGGTGTGGAACGACCTCTCTAATGAGCTGTCATGTGAACTCTTCTCGCCGCATAATGTAAACAATTGGCTGGCAATTTTTCATTTAAAATTTAAATTTGTTTCTGCTTTCCAGGAAAGAGTCTCGTCTACTTCATATTTCTTATTTTACAGACAGGTAGCAGGACAGTATGTTTAGGTTAATTCTAGATAATTCGCAAGGCTTGTCTTTGTGTGAACTTCACTGGCTTTTCAAGATCATAGGTGATCTTTTATATCTGAATAGCGTCCCATTTTGGACTCTGGGAAATGAACGGTGCAAGCCAGATGTTAGAGAGGACATGATTCATTTTTTGGCTGAATGCACCATTTTGTCAGAGATCCTCTGTTTTCGCTTGAATTATTCCATAATTGTGAAATACCAGTGTTGTTTTTAAGTATAAGTTTAGGAATTTAGTTAAATATGTTCAACAGGCCTGGTACTACCGGCATGAATTAATGGTAGAATTCAATTTCTAATGAATTTTTGTTTTTCTTTTATCTACAATGTTTTCTTTAAATTTTGTTTTCCTTATTAAGTAGTTCTTACTTTTTCCTTTAATTATTAAAAAAAAGGCACTATCGCTTCTTTATATTACCCAGCGACCTCCGGCAGACAGATTTTCTTTGTCCACGCTTTATAGTACTTCGTTTTTTCTTACTTAATTGTTATATAATATACAAATAAAAACGTATATTATTATTATTTTCAAGACCATGATGGTGTTAACTAACCACGGTAAGCACAAAGAATATTGTACAGATTCAACCTGGTGGAAGATGACAAATGCACATGTAACATGGTATACACTCAATCATGGAGACATCAAGAATTTCAGTGCCCCGTATGCAATGCATGATGATAGAATTTATTATATTATACAATATTAAATTCACTAGTTTTCATGGTCCGCTTGACCAATTAATATCTTTCAATTAATTAAGGTTTTTAGTTGAGATAAAAAATACATTGGTCGTGGGTTCGAATCCAACTTGTGACACTGACTTTTTTATCTCAACTAAAAACCTTAATTAATGGAAAGATATGCAATACTGTTGATTTTTTTAAATACTTCTGTTTCCTCATTAAAACAGCAGTTATTATAGTGGGAATTTGTACACTGCTTTCAAAACTGCATGTACCATATTTGGAAATGTCCATTATTTCCAGAGCTGAAATTCTGGAATATATCACCAATCAAAAATCTCTCTAATCTCCTTCATCGTTAATAGCTTTTGCTCGGCACACCTGGAGAGTGAGATACGAGTGACTTTTAAATATGAAATGATTGTCAACACTATGAAATTAATTGTAAGCAGTTGTATACTGTACTATTAATTCTCAAGAAGTAACTAGTTTCCTTTAAATCTTACTATTTTTCCTTATTTTCTTTTTCTTGTCATTCACACTCCTGTTTTAAATAACTTCTCTTTTTTAATCTATAATTAAAAGCTTTACTATGCATTAACTCAGCAGACAGATCCTAGACATGCTTATTATACTTTGTACCATTTGTTGTATTTTTTCATTATTATTATTTATAAATCTATTATATTTTAATGATCTATTGACCAAATTACTTCTTTCAATTAATTAATCTTTTTATGTAAAGTTTTGGTTGTAATGAAAAAGCTAGTGCCACAAGTGGGATTCGAACCCACAACCTTCGGATTCAAGTGGTAGAGCAGTGGCATGTTTAGCCGAAGGTCGTGGGTTCAAATCCCGCTTGTGGCACTGGCTTTTTCATTTCTACTAAAACCTTACATAAAAAGATTAATTATTTATAAATTCATTAGAGTTCATGGTTCGATTGACCAAATAACAGTTTTGAATTAATTATCTTTATGTAAGGTATTTTTTGAAATAAATTATTATTTATAAAGTTATATCTGGAGAGTCAAATACATAACTAAAAATATATATAATTACAAGTCGTTATAATTACACAGACAGGGTGTTTAATGAAATCTTTATGATGTTTCATTTATGCCTTTTTCATTGATGTATAGTGTAGTGTTTTATTCTTTATTAATGTGTGATGTGTAGTGATGGTTAGTTAATGATTATTTGGAGATCGTGAGATGTGGTCTTATGGGATGTAGGTTTAGAAAAAATTTTCTTTATTATGCCAACGTTTCGAACTTTATTGAGATCATCTTCAGGGCCTGCGATTTATAAGCATTGTTTAAATTATACAGTCCTACATGTATTTGTATAATTTAAATAATGTTTATAAATTCCAGGCCCTGAAGATGATCTCAATAAAGATTAAAAAGTTTGTACGATAAAAAAACGTTTTTCTAAAACCTACATCACACCAGACTGCATTTCATGATCTCCAAATAATTCTTTATTGATGTTGAATTGGTTTAAGCATTGTATTGTATTTTTTTCCTTACTTTTGAATACTTTTTTTTTAAGAAATAGGTTTTTGACCAATAAAAAATAAAGATGTTAAATAAGGTTGGTCCAAGAACAGACCCTCGGGGAACTCCTGATTTTATACTTCTTAAATGACTTTATGCCATCAATCTGTACAAAGAATTTTATGTTTGGTAGGTAATCATTAATTTAATGTATTCCTAAATAAATAATACTGGTTGGACTCTGCAATGGACCTCATATTCCTGATTGTAGGCAACATCTCAGGGATTTTTTGGGTGTATATACACCTTTCTTTTCTTTAAACAACTCAAGTGTTGTTTTTTCATATTGGACTAGATTTTAACTACGTTTGTTTTCAAGAGATCATTGATTGAACCTTGAAATGTTGCTGACGTTTGAACGAATTCAATGCTCTCTGCATTCAAAAGTTGAACTTTACTTTGAAACAGCATCTTCGTTTTGTACTTTTGTCCCCTAATCTTGGAAGGTGATAACAGACTTCCATGTAAGTTTTTGTTTTCCCATTTGGCACATAAATTTAATTTTTATAATATTAGATAATTTATGAAAATTTTCTGCAGTTATTTTTCCTTTTTAAGCCACTTTAGGATTTGTACAAATACACATTGATGTAATAATCTTGGACCTTTTACGACGTTTAAAAATTTCTTTTTCAGACCTTCCCTTGGGTTTTTAAGTTATTCGTAGAATGCAAATAAAATTAACGACAGTCCTGACAATTTGTCTGGTAAGTAAGACTTGTAAATTTCCTCTAACTGGCCTATTTTACCCAAGTTTAACCAGCAGTTTGTGTTCTTTCTGACAAAAAAAATCTCCTATTAATTGGTTAAAACAAAAACAAGTTATAGAAATTTTTGTTTGAATATTTTTTATTCTTTCCAGTTGCCATTTCTGGATGCCGAAATCCACTATTTCAAATCGGCCTCTGGTACTATCACCGCTGGAAATTTCACCTATTATAGACTGATAACGGAAGGTGCCATTCAAGTGATCCTTCATACGAAGTAAATAGATACAAATAACAATTGAAAGGTTGAAAAAAATGCATTGTCATGTTATGTGTCATCATGAATGCCCCACAATGCCTTTCTGTGTTGTTAGTATGTCAAAATCTGATGATCGATCGTGACTAGGCGCAAGGCTGTAAAATGAAATAACATTAGATGATAAAATGATTATTACACAGACGATCTGGTAGTATAATGTGTAAATTGTGAGTGGCACGCACCAAAACTAGCAAGGATATATTTTTTAAAAAATTTCATTTTTTTATTCGTTCAATTTGAAATTAACGCATTACATCGACTTTGCTTATTTACATTTAATTTTTTACACATTCAACAACCTTTAATCAGTTTATAGTTAATTTTAATTGACATACATCAATATATTATTAAATGTTTGTCTATTGGGTGGTGATTAATCACTTTTGTTACTTTGTTGATTATGCGCTGTGAATTTTATGTGGAATTTGTTCATTTTTGACCAGTGGAAATTTAATTTTTTTAAACTATTTGGCTGAGTGTCTATTTTTAGCTTGTTATTAAAGTACTCCCTGTGATACAAGAGGGCTTAACATCCAACTAGGGATGTTGCAGACAAAAGATCAAACCACTTTACAATATTTTTTTCGTATTATATTTTATTAAAATGTGTTGGGCTATGCTGGGAATTGAACCCAAAACATTGGCGTGGCAAATACGATATAGACCACTCGGCAAATGTGGTTTCTATGTAATATTGTCATTTGTAAATTACTGCTGTACATGACAGGTCTTCTGTGAGCCCTCTTGTCATGCTCTTGTTCTTCTGATTGTTCAGTTACTTAAAACTTAAACCCATCCTCCCTACAGACTACTGTCCCATCTCCATCCTCTCAAACCTGTCCAAGTCACTAGAAAGATTAGTCCAAGCACAAGTCTCCAGGCACCTTGAACAATCCCATCTTCTCAACCCCCTCCATATATTTGGTTTCTTATTGTATAAGTTGAGTTATATTTATAAATTTTAACCGATAATTGGTCACAAAATCCAATTGTAGGTGTTTTTTTAGCGGAATCGTGAAATATGACCTGTTTGTACAGTGTAAAATTGAAAAATCTATTTTTATTTAGACTTTAGACGTTTGTGTGTACAGTGCATACATTGATGATTTTAGGAAGGGGGATGCTGATTTGTACATTTCTGAACGAGTTGAAACGCCAACGTACGAAATCGACAGTTACTGCCTTCACTCTGCTACTTGCGGTGTAGATGTCATCGATATTCCGTCAAGGTGAGACAGAAACTGTTAATTTTGTTGACTCTACAATTGAACGAATTGTTTAAAGCTCTATTTTTCCTTGATTATTAAAAAAATTTTTTTTAGCTTTGCTCGACCAGTAGGAATTGGGGTTTACGGCCATCCATCACATGATGAAAGTGATTTCATTCTTGAAGTAAAGCTTACAGAAGATCAATATGAACACTCATCACCTGCAAATGAAAGAGATGAAAGCCAAAAAGAACACATATTAGAAGAGGTAAATTTATTTCTTCTTAAATCTTGAAACTAATCAGTGTGCCAATTGCTGAATAATTTTTAACATAACGTGATGTAAAATGTCTCTATGCTGCTAGGAAACGTGTTTACAGTTTACCCTTGGGTATTTCTTGACCACAAGATCATATTTGCTTTCATGTTAATTTTGAATTATTGAAAAACATTCAGCATTACAGACAATAATATGACATTCCAGGATCTAAGGTTTTTGAAATTTCTCACCTCACATTGCAGACGATGGTAAAATGATAGATAAAACCAGCTTTTATGGCTATGAACCAACATCTTGAGAATTTCATTACATAGTTTCATCTTTATTTATTATTATTATTTTTTAATGGCCTTATGATCTATGCATATTAGCCGTGGTCTGAGACGATTATTATGTGTATGCATATTGGGGGGGGAAGGGTATTGTGAAAAAAGGCCAGAGGTGACGGTGGGAATTGAACTCATGACCGGGGTCTACGAGCTGAGAGTCTCTCACGCTAAGTACCTGGCTACTGCAATCCCCTTCACCTTTTAATGTTAAAATTTTGATATTGATATATTTTTCATCTTCAGTAATTTTGTTTAATGAATGTTTAATTATGTGAGACAATAGTGCAAAATCACAGACTTTAGTTATGATGTAATATTATAATGGCTTGAACCTTTTAAACATGTGAAAGTAATTTTTATTTTGTTGTAGGATTTAGAAGAAGAAGACGAAGATAGGCCTTACTACATTTCCACATTTTTACTGACATTTATTGACGTAGTGCTTGATATATTTTTGCTATGACAGAAATGTTGGAATTCGAAAATCAAATGCTTCTTGATGTTATAACTGGGAATAACCTTCTCATCGCAGCCAAGTAATTTATTTAATAAAAAGAGGTATAAAATTGCAATGTTTTTAATTTTAAAATTTTCAGAGGGCTAAGCATCGAAACTGTTATATTAAATTTAATCAAAGTGTACTGTGATCCTGGAAATTTAGTCTTGATACTTGGAGCTACTGTAGATGAGGAACAGCATTACATTTCCCAGCTAGAAAGCATGGGTGTAAATCCTTTACCTAAGGTTATATCTTCAGATAATTTATCAGGGAACAGGTATTGTAACAATGTGTTAATTTAAAACTCGCACCGCCATTGCGGGTCTTTTAATATCCAGAGATTTTTTTCTACCCTTCAGTGCATTCATCTATTAATTCTTTCCTAAATATAAAGTCATTTTCTTTAAAAATTTTGAACAAAAATGTAATTGTTATTAATCATTTTGTAGATAAAAAGACACCTAGGTCTGTTTAGGCCCACAGTATAATTTTTATTAAATTATTTCAATTTTTCATTTATTTTATTCACTCAGGAAGGAAAAAGGTTTGGCTTAGCCTTACTACTTGCACTCTAATCCATTACCCTTCATCTAGCATCCTGGTTTTTCCATTTACCCCAAAACTCTCAAACTTCAGTACATATTCAGTTTCTGCATGAAAACCAGCAAAATGGAAAAAATCCCAACCTTGGTTTTACTTTCGCGGATGATATTTTGAAAGAGTTTTCTAGAGAGTAAGAACAATTTATTTTTAAGAAAGCGACAATGAATTGTTGAATGATGTGGATTAAAGATGCGATGATGGATCGACCTGCTGCTAAACTATGTTGAAAAATGATCTTCGGTGAGGTCACAACGGAACGACACTTCTTTCGGTTTTTTACCAAGCTTTTGACGATTGTGTTGTCATCATCAAGGCCTTTTTTCCCATAATAAACAGGCTTTGATGAAGACGATATAATCGTCGAAAGCTTGGCAAAAAACCGAAAGAATTGTCTTTCTGTTGTGATCTCACCGAAGATCCTTTTTTGACGTGATATGGATTAATTCAAGGTTCAAAAGAAAGAAGATTTTTTTCACTTTTTGATTACCTGATGAGAGCCAAATTGATTAGAGAGAGTTTGAGCAAAATTTAGAGTGGAATTGCTCCTAGTACTAAAAGAGGACTAGAAAATATTTTAAATTTGTTTAAATTTTAACATACACATGATGTTTATTGTCACCTATGTGCATACTAAATAAATATTCAATTAACGCCTGTGACAAATTTTTCATTTCAAAAAAATTGTGTATATTAATTGAGTAATTATATAAATAAGAATAAGCTGCAAAAATAATTAAAAAGTTAATTTAGACTTTAGTTAGATTAAATAAAGTAAATATAATAAATTGCAATATATTATTTAAAAAAATTTTATTGTAGTTTTTCCATTAAAAAAGGTCTATTTGTAAGACCCACCATGGCGGTTCATGTCAATTTTTTAACGACAGCAGTGCAAGTATTAAGAAATTTATTTTTCACTCAAAAATATGTTTTAAGGGAAGAACTTTATCTCTCTGGTGGTGTATATTTCATATCCTCGCGCATACTAGTTGTCGATTTTCTTAAGAAACGTTTACCAGTGCCTAACATCACCGGCATGATGGTACTCAGAGCACACAAAATATTAGAAAAGGCACAGGATGCTTTTGCATTGCGGTTATACAGGCAGAAAAATCATGTAAGGCTAAAATAAAAATATAACAACCTTAAAATGCTTGTTGATTTAATGATTTTTTTTTTACTGCAGACCGGTTTCATAAGTGCTTTCTCACGATCACCACAAACTTTCTCATCAGGTTTAATGAAGCTCGAACGTATAATGAAATCTCTATTTGTAAACAATTTAATTCTTTGGCCAAGGTTTCATGCCACCATCACAATGTCTTTGAAGGAACATCAGGTTTGTAATTGCTTTGATTTTCAGTAAAGAATTTAGAAGAAAAAGAGTTCAAACGAACTAGAAACAATTTCCTAACTTTTTTTTTCTTATAAGTAAAGTATTCTTTACAGTTGCACACTTACATAATTATTAATGTTTCAGCCTGAAGTAATAGAATTACACATAGACATGACCCATTCGATGAAAACGATACAAGCATCTGTTCTTGATTGTGTTGACTTTTGTATAAAAGAAATTAAAAGAGTCAACCCGATGGTATGGTCGTTTTTCTTACGTCTTAATAATTCTTCATGTTGATTTTGCTAATATGATTGTTTTTATAGATTGAAACAGACGAAATAACGGTGGAGAACGCCCTGTCTAAAAGTTTTTACAAACTACTTCAAATTCGACTGGATCCGATTTGGAACCAGCTTAGTGGAAGGACTAAGCAGTTGATCGCTGATTTAAAAACTCTAAGATCAATTTTAGGGTATGTTATATTTATAATTTATTTGCAGGTATGTCTCAATAAATGACATACAATTCTAATTTCCTTGGAATATGGATTAAATTAAAGGCATTAAAATATACAAGAATAAAACAAAAAATACAGTGTAGGCTTGCTAATCTGAGTATGTCTGGTCCAAACACGTTCAGTTTATGTCATAATTTTTTGTATTTTCCAATTTTAATTTAATTGTCAGTTATTATGGCATTGGCCAATAAAAATTCTACTGCCGATTTTTTTTTTTTGCTTCCAATTTTTATGTAAAAACGGTTGAGAAGAAAAATGTCCCACTTGTCATAAACGTGTAGCATGTCTTTGCATAAAAAAAATGAAATAATAATTAGCAATAAACTGATAACTAATTAAATTATTATGTGTGGTGATTAGTGACCGTTAGTCGATGATTATTCAGAAATTATGAGATGTTGTCTGGTGTGATGTAGGTTTCAGAAAAACATTTTCTTTATCGTGCCAACGTTTCAGTATTTATTGAGATCATCTTCAGTGCCTGGGATTTACAAACATTGTTTAAATTTAACAAAAACATGTAGGATGTGGAAAAAAGTTAATTTATACCATGCAAAAAAATATTGTTTTATATTCAATCAAAGTAATGTGTTCAATGTTGGTATATCCCAGGCCCTGAAGATGATCACAAAAAAGACCGAAACGTTGGCATAATAAAGTAAATATTTTTCTGAAACCTACACACACCAGGCCACATCTCACGATTTCTGAATAATTAAATTATTATTTTGTTCCACTTTAAGCCCCAAATTATGAGGTTTGTAGTTTGATCCGAATGTTTTGGTATGTCAAACACATTTTGGCTTGTCGCCATTTTCAGCGATGGGTTTCTCGGTCATTCTTTGGTCTGTTCTTTCTAAAACCCTCCCACCACTTCTTCCGCTACACAATTCCATTCAAAATTCCTAGGGCTTCCTCAGAAGAGGCAAAAAAATCGCTGGCTTCGGTCGTTTCAATATTTTTCAACTCGAAAAGATTTTTCAAATATTTATTCTGTAAAACCATGTAATTTGCTTTTCTGTGTAGATGTTTGGTTATTATTTAATCATTTTCTATGATTACATAAAATAAAGGAAAAATTAGGGTTGAAAGTTGAAAAGCCTTCTACACGCCCAAACTAAACAAACATTCTACGAGTTTCCAACTTCATTCACTTAGCGCCTGACCTCTGCTGTTGTGAAAACCTGTAAAAAATAAATTAATAAATAAAACAAATGAGTTTCTGCCTAGTAAACTTTGTGCATTCATATTCAAATTTGATTTTAATTCTATTTTGGACTTGTTTTGGAGATGTATAATTTTTTTTAAAGCTATTTAACCCAGTCGGATTGCATTCGTTTATATAATTTTCTCTCAACCCTTCGTACCAAGGAATACACCATGAAATCAGGTGGCTGGATGATTCTCGATTCAGCTGAAGCAATTTTCGTCACCGCAAAAAGTCGCATATACGATTCTAAACAATGTAAGTATAATATTAAATTCAAAAGCACTAAAACCCTGGTTAATTTGGATTTTTAAAGGTCTAAAGCCAGAACACAATCCAAAATGGAGGACGTTGAATGAGGTGTTATTAGAAGTTCAGAACCACGATAAAGTGTCGAATAACCATTCGACCGTTTTAGTTCTTGTAGAATCGCCATCAACTGTCAAACAGCTTAAACAAGTAGTTTTACCAATTTCACACATTTTTTAACCAAAGCGTTCATTTTTTTTGTCATTACTCAACAGGTATTAACAATGGGGCCTGATGATATGCTCAATTATTGGTATTATCGTTTAATTGGAGAAAAATCTGGTAGTAAAGATAGTAAAGAGGATAACAGTGAAAACGATGAAGAAGATGATTATTTGAATGATGTTGAAACTATAACGCTAACACAAAAAGTCGATTCTGAGTGTGACGGCAACACTACTTTTACCGAATGTCCTGAGGTAAATCATTAAACCTTTTTAAAGAGAATTTATTTAAAGAGAATAATTTTTAAAAGTAAAATTAATTTTCTTTCAAATGAAGTCTGAAATTGAAGAAATTCAGGATCCCGTTATAGTTATACAGCAGTTTAAGAAAGATCAGGATGGTTTATTTTTACCTAAAACATTAAAAAGGCTCAAACCAACTGCTATAGTTATGTACGATACTGACATAAGTGCCATTCGACAAATTGAAGTAGGTTGAAATTACTATTGATTTTTGTTTAAATTTTTCAACACTTTATTTTATAATTCAGATTTATCAAAGGGCTTTTTCTGAAAAACAAATCAAGGTGTACTTTTTAATGTATGATGAGTCTGTCGATGAACAGACATACCTGAGCGGTTTGAGAAAAGAGAAAATGGCTTTTGAGAAACTAATTTCAGAAAAATCGGTTAGTAAGAGTAAATAATAATAATAATAAAATCGGTTAGTAAGGGTAAATAATAATAAATAAATTGTTTTAATATGACAATTACGCTTTCAGACTCTTGTCATAGAAGAATTACTACCCGGGGAAGGTATACAAACTTTGAGCCCAGTTAAGAAAAGTACGAGGGAAGGAGGGGCACAGCCCGTTATAGTCACCCCTAGGATTATAGTCGACATGAGAGAATTTAGAAGTGAATTGCCTTCATTACTGCACAAAAGGGGAATTGATATTGAACCAGTAACATTGCAGGTAAGGTGTATTTTTAATGGCTGATGTGACCCCACACAAGGCAAAAAAAAATATATGTAAAACCTGCAAATGTGTACATAAATTCATACCTAACTACCATAACGTACTAAGAACAATTTTCAGTAATAGCGATAAGATCCTCTGGATAAAAGCGTTTTGAGAATGTGCAAAAATTATAAAGCAATAGGAAGTTTCCAGCTTGTATATCATAGAAACTCCCAAAATATGAGTGTTATTCCTGGTTTACCTAGGATTGAACAAAAGCTGTCTCAGACCACTCACAATGCAGTGCACTCAAGAAAGCACACGAACTTCAAAAACTCAAGAAACTACAGGCTGATAGTTTTTGTAAATTTTTTTTCCTCCCCTTCCCGAGGGGCTTCCAACAATAAAGTCATTTCAGCCCCTCACACTGCACTGTTATGGCCGATGGGGTACTCAGTATTCTGCCATCGGCCATACAGTCTAAAAGATCACCCACTTACAAGAAACAAATAAATTACTTACAAATAAATACAAGACACAATAAAACACAACACAGATACACTTATTTATACAGATATTTACGTTTTATACACTATTTACAAGTGAGGAAACACCCCTGTTTCTCTTAAAATGTGGAATAGGGGATCCAACATCTGACTTGCTTGCCTGAGTACCGTTTTTATGTCGGGGTTCATGCCTACTCGCTCCCTGTAGGGGGCCAAGGCACGGCACTCCTTGACAAGATGAGACACACTTTCTCAACAAGCGGGACACCTGCGCGGGTTTTGACCCAGGAGCAATGTCCGTGTGTCAGACGGGTATGGCCAATCCTCAACCGAGTTAACAGGATCCTTTCATTTCATTTCAGATTCTCATGGGGCCATCGTTCAGTCGTGCCCTTAACTCGCAGGAGCTTCTCGGTCGACCCGGCCCACTGACGCTGCTAACGCTTTTTCACAGTGTTCTTTTCTGCTTGCATAACGTCACCGGACCGGATCGCGGTAGCTTGGTCTGGAGGGCAAGACGTCCCAGCTTTCGCTGCCTCGTCTGCACGTTCGTTGCCCTCCAACCCGACGTGTCCGGGTACCCAGACAACTACTACCGCTTTTCCCAGGTGCTCCAGCTCAGCATATCTTTCTAAAAGGAGTATGACAAGAGGGTCCATGGAGAATCTGTCCTGGATTGCCGATACTGCACTCAGGGAGTCTGTACAGACAAGGAAGGCAAAGCCTTCATCGTCTCAAATCTTCCCGAGTGCAGGCTGGTAGTTACATTAGCTGTAGTTCCTACCCCAGCTAAATACAAACAGGTTTCCATGCTGTGCCAAAAACCCCGGAGCCAATGACACCAGCAGCAAAAAGTAACCAGTCAATACTGACTCAGTCCCGACAATCTCTACTTGTTACAATCCTTGCTAATGTTGGACTAAGTCGGTCTTCAAGGAAATTGGAGATCGCCTGTAAAAAAAATTAAATATGTCAATCTGTACATTTTAGATTGTTTTGCCCTGATGATGACCTTAAAACAGGTCAAAAGCTCGACAGTAACAACTGAATTTGCTTTCTTCTTCAAGATCATACCTTGATCCAGTGTTCATGAGTAAAAAAGTGGTCGATATTTTTAATAGTGAAAATAGAAGTGCTTCCTCTCAGATCACTGCTTTAAAAGAGAATCATCTATGATTTTTCATGCATCATGCCATTTGAAATTGGTGTTCCACAAGGAAGTATCCTAAGACAAATTCTTTACACTTAGACCTAACACATTCTAACACACAAAACACATCCTAAATAGACGATGCCATGATTCTATTCACACTCTGCTCTAGCAACAAAAGCATTCCACAAGCAAAAAAGCCTAATTTGAAGTTTATACTCAGACCTTAGAAGTGCACATAAACAACGGTGTAATCCCTCTTACCCAATTAAGTCTGCTAACTTTATTTTTTTTTGTACAGCAGACTTACATGGAACCCTAACAACTAGAACTAGACAATAACTCAACAAAAGATATGTAAAAGATATGATGCCGCCTATTTGGTAGTCTGCACTAAGTATACATAACAAATTAACCGCTTCCAAAATACTCATTAGATGTATGGAGCTCGGACAAATCCTGAAATATCCAACGAATCCTATCCTTTCAATCCAAAGTCATCCGATGCATGCTCTCTTCTACGCCACCTACCATTCACGGAGGATCTGAACTAAATACATATCCACAATTTCTATTCCTATCCTTTCATTTTAACCCACTAGCCGAAGTTTTTTTTTTCAATGTCCCACTCTTAGAATCTAACAGTTTAGACATTGATGATATTGTGACTCCTTACTGACCAAAGACCCAACAAGCAACATCATCAGTAATCAACAGCCGCATCCATATTGAATTTTGTTTTAAAAAAAATTCCAGTATGGATCTACAATTTCTTTTCATTTTTTCTCTAATTGATAGATTGGCGATTACATTTTAACACCTGAGATGTGCGTGGAACGAAAAAGTGTGAACGATTTAATTGGTTCCTTAAATTCGGGTCGGCTCTATACACAAGCGCTCGCCATGACCAGGCATTATGCAAAACCGATTCTTTTGATAGAATTTGATGAAAACAAACCATTTGGATTACAGGTAATTATTTTTTTTAAATCGATTATACAGGGTGGTTCGGCTACTTGTGTTACAAACTTTGCCACTAGATTGTACATTCAAAAAAGGAACCAAAAAGTCCTATTTAACTATGATCCAAATCTCAACAGTTTCAGAGGTATTTCACTTTTTTTGATTTTTTATGATTTCATGGCCTTTCTTCAAATAAACAATGATAACTCCAAAACTAAAAGGTTTTGGACAAATCTGTTGATACTATCGAAAACTACGTTAAATTTCCAATAAGATGTGATCGTTTTTTTCGTTCGTGAAATAAGTGTTTTAGTAGAGTGAATTTTGAAAAATATATTTTTTTTTCAAAGTTGAAAAACTTACTATGGTGATTCTAAACTAATATTTCCACACCTAGAGACCAAACAATTTCAGAAAACGTACTCCATTTAATATCCTTTTTAGTGGCGCAATTGCTTTTTTTAATTACTTTTTCAATAGATGAAGAAATTGATAAAGGAAAAGAAAAACCGTAGTTGAAAGATTGGTAAGGTGGAAAATTAAAAAAAACAAACAAAAAACTTAAGGTAATTTTGAATGAAAAACCCATACACAAGATAGATATCAGCGTATTCTTTACTAGAAAAAGTAGCCACAGTGTTGACAAGATATCACATAGATAACTAAAAACATTTTGTATCTTAAAACTCTTTTATTCGGAAGAATAATAATACAATAATTCTTTAATCAAAGTTGCAGTCATGCTGGCAAACAAGTAACTGTTTGCACTATTTCGGTTTTGAACTCAAATAAAAAAAAAGAAGTTTAATAAATTCATTCAAAATTACCTTAACATTTTTTTTTTAAATTTTCCACCTTACCAATCCGTCAGCCACGGTTTTTTTCTTTCCTCCATCAATTTCTTTATCTTTGAAAAAAGCAATTAAAAAAGAAATTACACCACTAAAAAAGATATTAAATGGAGTAAGTTTTCTAAAATTTGCTGGTCTCTAGGTTTGATAATAGTAGTTAAGAATCACCATAATAAATTTTTCAACTAAAAAAAAGTTATTTTTCAAAATTCTCGCTACTAAAATGCTTATTTCACGAACGTTTACAACTTAAGCATTGATCACATCTTATTGGAAATTTAATGTAGTTTTCTGTGGTATCATCGGATTTGTCCAAAACCTTTTAGTTTTGGAGTTATCATTATTTATTTGAAGCAAGGTCGTGAAATCTTAAAAAATCAGAAAATGTGGAATACCTCCGAAACTGCTGAGATTAGTTGAGTCGAGTACTTTTTGGTTCCATTTTGAATGTAGAAAATAAGGCCAAAGTTTGTAACATTAGTAGCCGAATGCCCTGTATAGACTAAATTACAAATTAAAAGCATTTTTTCTACATTTCAGGGTCGATATTTTTTAAGTAATGATATGTCTTCGAATGATATTCAATCGAAACTTCTTTTACTTACACTCCACTTTCCTCGGCTTAGAATAGTGTGGTCACCGAACCCGTTTTCCTCTGCTCAACTGTTTCACGAATTGAAGGTAATTAAATGTTTTATCCATTGGAAATGTAATTTAGTAATTAATTCGGTGTTGAACAGGAAGGTAAAGAGGAGCCCTGCTCAACTACTGCAGCATCGATAGGTGTTGAAGATGCTCCTCTTGAAGATGAACGTCTCGATAAATACAATATTGGTATTCAGGTAGTTGATTTATTAAAAAAATCTTTTTCCCAACTAATATAAGTACTAAGGTTATTAATAAGGGTTTCATTTTTTAAAAAAAGGACTTTGTCGCAAAATTACCAGGGGTTAATTCAAAAAATATAAACCAACTGTTAAATAAAGGAAAGTCTCTCTCTCATCTTTTAACACTATCGAAGGTTAGTTCGAATACCATGGAAAATTACATATAAATGATTAACTTTTTTTTTTTTTTTAAACAGGAGGAAATATTTGAAATATTAGGGAATAAAGTAAATTCCGAGTTAATTTACAACGCTCTCCATAAGCCTGTCAAACCTAACGTCGATGGTGGATCTACGAACAATTTCAGAGCGAAAGGAAAAGGGAGGCCTTTCAGAATACGAGCTCATCCTTAAAAAGGAAGCCAAATTTCGAGGCCAACATAAATTTAATGTTAATCAATATTGAATTTTCACCAAAAATATTTTTTTTTTTTTTACAAAAGTTAAGTAATTTATATGAACAATTTATTGTGATATTCTTACTGTAATATCATCATTGTAACTAATTAATTATAATTATTTAAAAAAAATTTTTTTTTCGTATAATTTAGTTGATGTGTTATTATTTGTATAACTGTGTTATATTAATTTTTAGAGTTGTTACTTTGTAAAAATTATCATAATCGTGTTACTTGATCATAATGTATGATTCTATCAAGAGAACAATTTTCTGAACGGGGCAGATAAAAAAAACTGTATATTCGTATTTTTCCCTGAATAAAATTTTGGTGAATAAAAAAGTTAAAAGGTTTTTTTATTTTTTATTTACATATGTATATGTGAACCTTTTGAATCCTAGCAATATCAAAAAAGTGCGTTTGTAGACCACAAAGAAGAAGAAGAAGAAGAAGAAGAAGAAGAAGAAAAAAGGAGGACCTCAGATGCAATGATATGGTATAGACGTGGATCTAAAACAAATTAAGGAACCAGATCAGGTTTTTTTTTTTTGTGTAAGCCTAAATATATAAGTAATCAAACTCATTAGGGAAGTACTCCGTCTTACACGCTTGTGCTTTAGAAAAACTTGAAAGAGCTTAAACTATCAAAAAAATCCTAAGTTCCAATGGCCAAACAGCTATTAAAAGCATTAGCATGTTAAAAAAATCACATGAAACTTAGACAGTGAATGCTCTCCAAAAGCTGTGGAAACAACCTGATGGATACGGGGACTCTTGGGAATTTTGGGTAAGGAAAAGGCAGTCAGAACCACTATATAAGCCCTGAATGTATCCTTGGGTTAACAAAAACATCACAGAATGGATCCGAAAAAGACAAAAGGAGAAGTGCATAAACTCTAGAGGTGCTGCTATTCAGTAAGCTTATGCTAAAACAACCCTGAACTGGCAAACTCACAGTTAGGACCAAACTCAGAGGTGTGATACGACTATCGATCGCTGGCATCTGAGAAACACCGACAACACGTACTCAACCTGTAGATGTAGATATGGTTTCAGGGTGTATTGTACTGCACCCTTTGAGAGCTATTATACCCCCCATGCTCTGCCTAAAGTATATCGGTGAGTCCTATTTCATCAAGAAACTTGATTAGTAGGCCCAGTTTCAATGGTTGAAGCTCTTCTATGGTCACATTATACATCCCAAAACACTTCCTCCTGCGGGGAAGTAGCACCGCAGTTTGTTAGTAGAGGGCAAGTTGACCTCTGCAGAATCTGCATGTGCCATCTTGCATTATTCCAATCTTCTTTAACTGTCCATTTAACTTGCAGTGTCATCCTATTAGGATTCGCAGTTTGTTCCAGCTTCCCTTGACACATTCTGTAATTTCTTTTCTTTCAAAATTGGTTAGGAGATCTTGGATTGTCTGTGTCCAATGAGTGAATTCCAAAATTCCCTCCTTTTCTTTTTGTCCTTCTGTCTGAGATACTCATTAATGGGTTCCTATGCCACAGAAGGGTTCAGGTCCTGTCAGCGGTGTAGCAGTCCCTTTTCTTGCAAGGGTGTCCGCCTTCTAGTTGCCTTCTACTCCCATGTGTCCTGGGACCCAGCAGAGGCTGACTTTATTCTGCGTACCTAGTATATTTAGTTTGGTTTTGCAGTACAGCACCATCCTTGAACTAATGATATTTGAGCTTAGTGCTTTGATGGCTCCTTGGCTATCTGACATGATAGCTATATTCTTGTTTTTGTACCCTTTACTTAAGTTGAATTGGGTACATCTTTTGATTGCATGAATCTCAGCTTGGAAGATACTGGTGAATTTTCCCATGGGTTCTGAGCATTTGGTTCCAGGTACAAATACTCCTGCCTCTGTACCTTCTTGTGCTCTAGATCCATCTGTGTACCATAGGATGGTGCCATTTTTAAAAGAGTTGTTTCCCTTCTCTTTCCCATTATTTTTTGGTACCCAGGTTTATTCGGAAGTTTTGGTTAAATTCAAACATCCTGTTGATGTCATCTCTTGGAGCCATGAGTATCGGATGGTCTTTCCATAGTTCTTATGTCTCTCCATTTCAGTTTTATTCCTGTTGGAGGGACTCAACATAGGTATTCAAAATGGAACTCAGTTGTAGGTTATGCAATGAAGAAGAAGAAACAGACACCCATATCATCTCCGATTACAAAGAAACTGCTCAACAGAGAAAAACTGGGTATGAAGAAAACCCAGGAAATGGAATTGCTGCGACAGTCAGTGACCTAGTATTTCTTAGGAGGATTATGTCAAATGCACTGTACTAACGAACCAGAAGGCTGTAGTAATCAGGAACCAACTCCTCCCATTTTCTAGTAACCATCATCATATGACATCTCGAGAAGCAAAGAAAAAGTAAGATAGGAAATGATGATAGATATCTTAATATTTATATTTTATATAGGTACTTATGTATATTTATGTTAATTCATTAGTACTTTTTGTAATTTTCTTTGGTTAAAATAACGGTTTATATTTTTTTTGAGTATGTGTTGAACAGTGAAATTAAGAAAATGGATGCGCAATGGAAAGGAATGCCATCTGTTAATAGATGGCGCTGTCTTCTCAGCTTGCGGCTTATGTAGTTCCCCGTCCTGGTTCTGAGTAGCGCCAAAGTGGAAGTGCTTTCCATCCTCGCCCGTGAGGATTTTTCCTGCTGGGAGCTCAGTGATCAGTGGCAGACGCAACGCCCGTCGTACACGACCTCGCACCTTCAACGATACCGTTTCGAAGCCCGTGTAAACATAAACGCGTGTGACACGCCCTCGCTTCTCATTGTTCTTCTCCTCCGACCGGCGACAAAGGTATTTACGACCGTTTATCACCTGTTCCGGGAGCCTGGAATGGTTTTTCGCCCTGGAGCTTTTTGAACCTCGCGGTCCTTTCGCATTCCATCCCAGGACAAAGCACCTGGGATGTTTCATTGACCTTACCTTTTACCTTTTGCATTCTCTGCATCCACCGGCTCCCGGGAGTTTGATCAATTTCATAAATTATCATTCTTATCTGAAATACTATTAAAAATCTAATTTTAGTTTTTATAAGTCGGTGAATACTGAAAAAATATTAAAACTAATTCAATATACAACATTGCTATTTTAATTTCAACCTAAAAACGCTAAAAAATTTAAACAGTTAAATAGTATCGGCATGGTTTAAATTCTGTTTTTCCTCTTTGTACTTAAACATGAAGTGATTTCTATATGACAATCATAAAAATAATAAAAGAATCTTTCAATTTTAAGTAAAAAAACAAGACAATCATCCTTTCCATAGATCTAGTTTTGTGGCAATAAACATCGACTAATTTTAAAGCATTTATTTTTATAATTTACTTAAAACACCAAAAAATAAAGAAATAAAAGTTACCTTGAAATATTCCGATATACTTCTGAAACAATCTTTGAATTTTAAAGCTTAGGCGTTAGATGACACAGCGGATAGCAACAGTTTTTATGTGATAAAATTTTCAGTTTTGCAACACAAGTAACAATCTTCTGGAATCTTGATTTTGATGTAAAAAAAAATTGATTGAGAACTTAATTGTTTTTATAAAAACATCATTGAATTTTAAGGGTTGATTTTTAAGGATTGTAATTAAATTGCACAAGTTGCATAGAACTAATCGATTTTGTGACAATAAACATCGATTCGTTTTAAAGCACTTAAAATGATCACTTTTGGCAAGATGAGTAACAATCTTCTGTAATCTTGTTTTTGATGTAAAAAAAATTGATTGAGTACTTAATTGTTTTCATAAAAACATCATTGAATTTTAAGGGTTGAGTGAGTCAATAAATAACAAAAAACAACATATTTTGGAAAAGTATCAAGTTTATATGACAAAATATAATGTCGAAATGTTTTAATGCAATAAATTTTATTAAAATTTTCTCTTTTGGCAAGACAAGTAACAATCTTCTGGAATCTTGATTTTGATGTAAAAAAAATTGATTGAGTACTTAATTGTAAAATTGTTTTCATAAAAACATCATTGAATTTTAAGGGTTGAGTTTTAAGGATTTCGATTAAATTGCACAAGTTGCATAGAACTAATCGATTTTGTGGCAATAAACATCGATTCGTTTTAAAGCACTTAAAATTTTCACTTTTGGCACGACAAGTAACAATCTTCTGGAATCTTGATTTTGATGTCAAAAAATTGATTGAGTACTTAACTGTTTTCATAAAAACATTGAATTTTAAGGGTTGAGTTTTAAGGTTTGCAATAAAATTGCACAAGTTGCATAGAACTAATCGATTTTGTGGCAATAAACATAGATTCGTTTTAAAGCACTTAAAATTTTCACTTTTGGCAAGACAAGTAACAATCTTCTGGAATCTTGATTTTGATGTAAAACAATTGATTGAGTTACTGTTTTCATAAAAACATCTTTGAATTTGAAGGATTGAGTGAGTCAATAAATAAACAAAAAAAAACAACTTCTTTTGGAAATGTGTCAAGTTTGATAGACAAAATATAATGTCGAGATGTTTTAATGGAATAAATTTTATATTTAACTTCTACTTTTATTAATACATTTAATGATAAAGTGATTATGAATAAGCAATCGATGAATTGAAATAAAAAACACACTAAATATGGAAATTTAAACAGGAAGTGATTTCTATATGACAATCTTAAAAATAATAAAATAATCGACGAATTTTAAGGTTTTATCATTTTAATAAAAATAAGACACACGTTGCATAGAACTAATCGATTTTTTGGCAATAAACATGGACTCATTTTAAAGCACTTAAAATTTTCACTTTTGCAAGACAAGTTACAATATTTTGGAATTTTGATTTTGATATAAAAAAAATTGATTGAGTGCTTAACTGTTTTCATAAAAACATCATTGAATTTTAAGGGTTGAGTGAGTCAATAAATAAAAACATACAACATCTTCTGGACACGTTAAAATGTTAGCTTGAAAAATTTCGATAAACTTCTGAAGCAGTCGTTGGATTTTAAAGCTTAGACGTTAGATACCACAGAGGATAACAACAGTTTTGATGTGATAAAAATATAATGTTAAAATTTTCACTTTGGCAAGTCAACTATCAATATTCTGGAATCTTGAGTTTGATGTAAAAAAAGTTGATTGAATACTTATTTTTTTATACAAACATCATTGCATTTTAAGGGTTGAGTGAGTCAATAAATAACAACAAACAACGTCTTTTGGAAACTTATCAAGTTTGATTTGAGAAAATATAATGTCGAGATGTTTTAGTACAATAAATTTTATATTTAACTTATAGTTTTATTAATACACTTAACAATAAAGTGATTATGAGTAGGAACATCCAA